AAGCGGCAGAGTACAGAAATCTGAATAAATTATAAGTCACATTCTTTCGGATTATGCTAAAATCTGATCATTAAGATAGACGTACATAATTATTCTTATTCTTTTTACGTCACACACTTGTATCTTCTAGGGGAATTAAACAGTTAAGCATAATTTTAAAATCATTCTTCAGGATTGCACTAAAATACGATCAATTCAATATATGTGGGTAATTATTTTACTAATTTTTATTTTGGGTATTATATCTTCTTGAAGAGTCACGTCAATCTTGTCGCCGCCTGTAGGTTTAACATTTTTGTTTTGCTATCGGGTACTGATATTTGTTTAGCATAGCTCTGATGTAATGTCTTTATACTACCTATAGTTATTGCGTACTCGTTCAGTAAAAGTTTTCTTAAGTTCAAATGAGATAAAACTTCTTAATTGTGATATAGAAGCGTTTCCTGTCACATTGATCAAGCATAATGAAGAGTAGAATCTTCTATTTCTTCTCAATCTATCTATTTATGCGGTGCATGTTTTGCATCTATAAATATATGTTACGATTTTTCCTTTTCATAAGATTTTCTTGCGATAAGATTAAAAGAGTCCACTAGAGCTTGGGAACTGAACTAAATTTTATTACGAATATTAGTACCATTATATTATCACATCAATTAACGATATAACTAAGATTATTATGAATAACATACGATAAGAGCGTATCGTATTAAAAGTGCTATCTAAGCCTTAATCTTAATGATTACAGTTTCGAAATAAAAACATGCGTCTGCATTTTAGTCATCAAATAAACATACATACATTACGAATCATAACTACGAGTCTAACAAAGTAGCTTTCCACTTTGTAACAATATGCTGTACAGTGTACACTTTACCGTACCATATACTCTCACAACTCTATCATTCTTTGTTTACATGTAATTTAATACAGTAAAAATGGAAACTATGAGACTATTTTTGTAATATAGTAAAATTTTTAACGAAAGTAGAAAAAGAAATAATTTGTATAATTAATGCCCCAACACATCCTACAGCAATAACAATAACTGCTCCTTGTGGAAGAAGTCCAGTATTAGTACGAGTATCACATCTTGTCCAGTATATGATTTGTCGTAAATACATAAGTAGGTATTTTGCAAAATGCCTATTTCAGGCATTTTGCGAAATTCCTAATAGATTCGGTATTTTGCAAAATTGCCTATGAGAAAAGCCTTAACTCATACGCATCGCATAATTTCCTAAGAGAAAATGCCTTATCTAATAGGCATTGTAAAAATTCGGTATTTTGTCTGTTGGGCTTTGCTAAAGGATTTCAGGTATTTTGCAAAATGCCGGATTTCGCAAATTGCCGTTGACAATTCTTTTCTTACATACAGTTCTTCATGCCCGTTTTGTATACTACAGAGTAATAGATTGTACCTTACTGCTTTCATGTGTATCAAGATTATGTAAGTAAACTACACATACTGTAGTTCCTTCGCTAACACGATAATACCCGATTAAATCTTGATCACATTATTTTACATTATTGTATACAAATAAGCTCTAAAATTATGATAGAGCTTTCGATATATTGTATTGATAAAGAAGATTTAACAGCTATCAGATATTTAACACAAGGCATTTTAACGATTAAATAGAATCTTTAGTATATACAGTACTGTATACATCGTATAAGACTAAATGTAGTTACTGTAGATTACATGTAGGCTGACCAGATTTAACACAAGTAAGCTACCAGTACTGACAAGTATATTAACTATAACAATTAACTTATAGTTATAATAATTTGTTACGCTACTACAAGAACATAGAATATAGTTTGACTACGGAAACAATTTCTTATTAAAGCGAGCTTATAAAGTCTTCATGTAATCGATCTTGTAAGAACGCTTGAAGTATCGTAGCTAAAATCATTATTACCTTACTATTAATAGAAGTATACTGTAGTACTGTATTTATGATGCCTAAAACTAAGAATATGATATCTATGTGATAAATATTTAGGATTTATGTATAAATTACCCGTAAGGAACGTCATGTTAATATTCTACTTTTATCCATGGATAAATATAGCTATCTCCCTATACACTGTACGCGTACTGTATATAGCACTTAGCAGCCTGGATGACCTCATTAATTTAGTAAACTTTTGGTAATTACTATGTTACCTAATACACATTCAACCACGAGTTGAATTAATATTCGATCAGTTCCTCATGCCTTAACGGCTACAGCTCGGTGTTTATATTAGCAAAATCAATTATCTTATCTTACTTTCTTATTATAATATATTATTCTGCGGTCTCTCACATTGGCAGCAGTCGACTTTGTAAAGACTACATTATTTAATTATCTGCGATGTAATCGATAGTCTAGAAATTTCTCTTCTTATATAAATAGCGCTTACCGTATCAAACTCTAGAATACTTCGTAAATTACGACTTTAGGAGGGTAATTACAGTAAATAATTCATAACTTACGGAGTATTGCAAACTTAAGAAATTTCTATTTGAGTACGTAGTTATGATCTCAATAAACTGCTATTCTCGCATTTAAGACTATTTCTTCATTCCAGACGAACCAACTTATAAATGCAGTATTAAGTTAATAAATAACTGTCTGCCATGCGCTTATTTATTACGGTTATCAAGAGTATTAAAGTAATAACAATACGCCAAGTATAACGAGTGTGAATCTATTAGTGAATATAAATTCACTATTTGATTAATTAAATTAAAATTGTTCCGTCATGTATACTTTTATATACTATTGGGATACTTTCTTATACTCAAATTTTTACGATAATTCTCCTGCAGATTGTGTCAATTCGCTTGGAGTATACTCTTGCCAGTGTAAGACAGGCTATACGGGTAATGGAGCAACTTGCATAGATATCAATGAATGCTCAGTAGGTAATCATACCTGCTCTAGTGATGCTAATTGCTACAATAACAATGGTTCATATTCTTGTACATGCAAGATGGGCTATACTGGTAATGGATCTACATGTCAAGATATTAACGAATGTTCAATAAGTAGTTATTGCAATAATAACGCTAATTGCATAAATACTGATGGTTCATATACATGTCAATGTAAACAAGGTTATACAGGTAATGGAACAATATGTACTGATAACAATGAATGCTCATCGGGCAGTCATGCTTGTTCTATTAACGCCGATTGTATTAATAATCACGGATCATATCGATGTACATGCAAGACAGGATATAGCGGAAACGGATTTACATGTATTGATATTAATGAATGTTTATCGATCAAACAATGTAGTAATAACGCTAACTGTATAAATACTAACGGCTCATACACATGTCATTGTATGCAAGGATACACAGGCGATGGAATTACATGTACAGATAATAACGAATGCTCATCAGAAACTCATTCATGTTCCGTTAATGCGGATTGCTATAACAATAATGGGTCTTATACTTGTATATGTCGTATTGGTTATTCTGGAAACGGATTTACATGCAAAGACGTCAACGAATGCTCCGCAACAAATCAATGCGATTCTAACGCTAATTGTAATAATACAGCCGGATCTTATACGTGCCAATGTAATAACGGATATGTAGGCGATGGTAGAACGTGTAACGATGTCGATGAATGTCTATCAGAAGTACATCGATGTTCAATCCACGCTTATTGTAATAACACGATCGGATCTTATACTTGTCAATGCAACATAGGATTTTCGGGTAACGGAATATCTTGCAACGATATTAACGAGTGTACATCAGAAACTTACAGCTGTTCTATCTACGCAAACTGTAATAACACTGTTAGATCGTATATGTGTACTTGTAATAACGGTTACAAAGGTAACGGCATCGCTTGTCAAGATATCGATGAATGTATTACTAATAACCTTAACATGTGTAGTAATAACTCGAACTGCGTTAATACGAACGGATCGTACGACTGTCTATGTAATACTGGATTCTCTGGAAACGGATTAATATCTTGTACAGATATAGACGAATGTTCAAATAATCTAGATAACTGTCACACTAACGCTCAATGTATTAATTCAGTCGGATCTTATACGTGCCAATGTAATAACGGATATGTAGGCGATGGTAGAACGTGTAACGATGTCGATGAATGTCTATCAGAAGTACATCGATGTTCAATCCACGCTTATTGTAATAACACGATCGGATCTTATACTTGTCAATGCAACATAGGATTTTCGGGTAACGGAATATCTTGCAACGATATTAACGAGTGTACATCAGAAACTTACAACTGTTCTATCTACGCAAACTGTAATAACACTATTGGATCGTATATGTGTACTTGTAATAACGGTTATAAAGGTAACGGCATCACTTGTCAAGATATCGATGAATGTATTACTAATAACCTTAACATGTGTAGTAATAACTCGAACTGCGTTAATACAAACGGATCGTACGACTGTCTATGTAATACTGGATTCTCTGGAAACGGATTAATATCTTGTACAGATATAGACGAATGTTCAAATAATCTAGATAACTGTCACACTAACGCTCAATGTATTAATTCAGTCGGATCTTATACGTGCCAATGTAATAACGGATATGTAGGCGATGGTAGAACGTGTAACGATGTCGATGAATGTCTATCAGAAGTACATCGATGTTCAATCCACGCTTATTGTAATAACACGATCGGATCTTATACTTGTCAATGCAACATAGGATTTTCGGGTAACGGAATATCTTGCAACGATATTAACGAGTGTACATCAGAAACTTACAACTGTTATATCTACGCAAACTGTAATAACACTATTGGATCGTATATGTGTACTTGTAATAACGGTTACAAAGGTAACGGCATCGCTTGTCAAGATATCGATGAATGTATTACTAATAACCTTAACATGTGTAGTAATAACTCGAGCTGCGTTAATACGAACGGATCGTACGACTGTCTATGTAATACTGGATTCTCTGGAAACGGATTAATATCTTGTACAGATATAGACGAATGTTCATATAATCTAGATAACTGTCACACTAACGCTCAATGTATTAATTCAGTCGGATCTTATACGTGCCAATGTAATAACGGATATGTAGGCGATGGTAGAACGTGTAACGATGTCGATGAATGTCTATCAGAAGTACATCGATATTCAATCCACGCTTATTGTAATAACACGATCGGATCTTATACTTGTCAATGCAACATAGGATTTTCGGGTAACGGAATATCTTGCAACGATATTAACGAGTGTACATCAGAAACTACA